GGAGGAGGGGAATTATTAACAGGAATGATAAAACTGTACTTGCATTTGGTAACACAAAGAGAAGCTTACAAATGAGACGTCTCATTAGTTTGAGCAGATGGATCAAAATTAAAGGCTGAATCGCCAACTTTTAATTTCCCAATAGCTAACAAGAGCTTGAAGTCTTGCAGAGTAGGACTGTTGAAAAATCAACATGAAAAGATTTTCTCCATCTGTCATCACACATGCCTGAGTGGAACACAACTGCCTCCTACTGTTTTTAATACTTTTAAAGCAAAGCTGCACATAAAATCTATTAAGTACATGAGCACACAAGTTTAGATGATTGGTATACTGAAATCTGTTGAATAGTAATGATCAGAGAATATCAGTATGACTTTTGAACATGAAATTTCTCTGTTCTAATTTAACTCAAATGGGGAGAAACAAAATAAATTTATGTGTAAATTTAAGTGGTAACTGTTAATTTTTAGCATAAAAGCTGATTAGTTGCCTGAAAATCATGGGGTTTTTTTAAATGGATACATATTTCAATCWTTAAAATACTGATCTGAAAAGAAACTGCTCTGATAAAATCAAAGTACTTTGGGAAAACAAACCAGGGAAATATCCAAATATGAAGGTAAGAAACAAAAACAGATAAAGCCAGAAGGATTTACTAAAGGATTTTTTTTTTTAATTGGAGGAATTAGAGTGGCACGATATGGTACTAGGGAAAAACAATTGGTTTTCTTGATGTAGAYTGGACTGCCATACATATTTCTTACTACTATATACTATTAAGATATATTTAAATGGCAATATGATCCAGCTGAAGTTTAAGCACATAGCCCCATAAGAAATAAGTGAATTTTCTTTTAATAAAAAAGAAAAGCAACATATCAAATATGTGGTGGCTTAATAAAAATGGGTAATATGTAATAACTATAATTCAATTCCAGAAGCAAATCTCTGACTTTGTTTTCTTCTATTAATGCATATGCATGTTACCAATAATTTGCTGTATTTACATGTACAACAAAATTTTAAAAAGGAAGTCTCTTATAATGAAGCACATATAGAGTTTACTCAGCAACATTTGGCAGAATAATGGAAGAGTGGATTTGGCTGTTTTTTAGAYGAGAAGAAAAGGTTGTTGAACTATGTATTTTTCGTTTTCTGACAGATGGATGCATAGAAATTCATTTATTTAGAATTATTATTTGGAAACCTACACAAAGATAGCAAGTGACTGGGATAAGATCATCTTGATCCTCAGTTATGAGTGGAAAAAAAACACAGTTCAGAAATTCCACTGTACTGGAAATTCTTTGCTGATCTGATAACAAAAGCATAGGATATAATACTATAGCTTAGTTAAGATGTCTCTTCAAGATTTTTTAAGGAAAAATAGTCCTCTGAGGGTTTCCAAGTCTCTGAAAACAAACCCCTATGTGAATTCAATATCAATGAATAATTATCAAGGATTGCCAACCTTGCTGAAACAGTTATCTACCCCAACTTCAAAATCAAAATGTGTAGAGTCATGCATAAAAAATACCTACACGATAATTTCAGTACTAGATATATTACAAAGGCATTCAGCAGAAGCTGCCACTTATCAAGATAAATAATTTTATTGGACAAATAGCACTCAACAGATTAGCTTGCAAACAGAAGACTTAAACAGAGCAATTCTTAAGACCAACACAGTGAAAATTTAAGTTGTGAGCAACTTTCTAGACCTATTCATATAATACAGGAAGTTTGAAGAAGTGAAAATGAGAGAGCTTTGTTTTTGAATTATATTGTAAAAGAACTTTTAAAAAAGGGGGGTGGGGATTTTAGGGCTGGAGTAGTGACTCAGTGGTACAGCACTTGCCTGGCAATGAAACATGAAATTGAACATGAAATTTCTCTGTTCTAATTTCATTAGAAATTAGGCACATTAATGATAAAGACTACTGGGTTCGATTCTCAGCATTGCATATAAATAAATAAAATAAAGGCCCATTGACAACTAAAAAATATTTTTTTAAAAAAAGGATTTTATAGATTTTATTTATCAAGTTTTGGTATTGAATCCCACAGATGACAGGGGACAGCTGATTATTATACAGAGTGTCTGCCAGACTTAAGCTCTTAGAAAACAAAATAAAGAGTCTTCCATAGACCTTTTTTAAATTAATTTTTTTAAAAAAATTTTATTAGTGCATTATAGATATAAATAATAGTGGGCCTCATTTTGACATAATCATCCATGCATGGAATATAATTTGCTCCATTTCAGTCCCCAATGTTTTCTCTTTCCCTTGCCACCTCCTTTCCCCATTCTCCTACCTCTGTTCTACCAGTCTTCCTTCTATTTATTTATCATTTTGTAAATCAGTACTTTACAGATACACGTAAAGATAGAATTTTCTGTGGTATATCCATAAATGTACATAGCATAATTTAATCAATTTCATCTAGCAGTTCCTCCCTTCCTGTTCCTCTTCACTCCTCAATCCCCTTACTCTACTCCATTGATCTCCCTTCTACTTGTAAAAGGACTGTTGATTTGTGATGATTCCATTAATGATAAAGAAAACTGGCTTATCAGATTAATATTTACAATCTGAAGGCACTGGCCTAGACTTTGTAGTACTATCAACACTAGAGGCAAGTTTCAAGTAGTGGGATATAGTCCTTAAGTATTTCAAATTTCCCATGCCCCTTATTTCACTAAATATGTTAAGTCTTAGATGACAAGGAATTCATACCAATCGAATCGTATTTACCATAGAGTTCATGTACATGATACCATACTAGCAGCCAAACCAAAAGTGTCCCCTCATAACCAATGTTTCTTAGTAGCAACCATCCTCCTGGAATACAAAATCTAAAAGGACAACAGTGCATAGAACACATGGATTACAATTTTGAAATATAATATCTTTAGGCAAAGCATATATTTACATTTTAATAATATTGTTTCTATGCATGGATTGCTCATAGTTTTGAAGCAGAAAAATACAATAGCTTAGAGAAGCTATAGGAATACAAGGGGAAAAAAGAACAGGGAATTATAGGGGAAAAGTACATTTAAGAAATGGAAGGACATATACCTACAGAAGCTGTCTTAGGGTAGTAGAATTAACAGTGATTATTTTCTCCTGAAACTATTGTTTTTTCGCATGCCCAAGGGTTAAATTTGTTAAGTTCTTTCTTTATTCAATATCTTTCATACTAATCATTGAAATCACATTTTAATAAAACTAGAACAGGGGCTAAAATATAAAATATAAAATAGGGTCACAGTATGTAATAAAAATGTGGGGAAGAACAGGTTTTTCTAATTGCAAATAAGCGCACACCCCGAACAGAATACAAAAAAAAAGTATGCATATCTGGATATTATAATTGTGATTTAGAGATAATAATTGATAAAAACAGAACTCACTAGTATGACACTACTCTAACTGAAAATGCCTTAGGATTGAAAAAAATAAATTCAAAATGGCAAAAGCATATTAGGACAGAACTTTACATCACACTACATTTATAAGATTGCTCCTAAGAAATATAGCGGACATTTATATAATCTAATGTAGGTCTGTGGTGACAAGGAAATGTTGTAATTCATTTGAAGTACATTTCTAGAATAATGTGGCAAATCATAAAAAGGTAGCATTTGAGTCATAAAGCCCTTTGGGAACTTGTCATATGTAAATTCATTTTTTTTTCCTTTGAAGTACTGGAGGTTGGACCTAGGAGTTCTCTATCTCTAAGCCACATCCTTGACCCCCCATTTATTTTTAATTTTGAGATGGGAATCTTACAAAGTTGCCCAGGATGGACTAGAACTTATGATCCTCTTATCTCAGCCTCCTGAGTAGCTCAGATTACAAGTGTTTGCCACTTTGGGCAGCATAAATAAGTTTTTACACAGAAAAAATAATAGTGGGTAGAAAGATAATCATTACAGCAGCACTGTCATTAACAATAGATAATTGCAATCATTTAAAGTACTCAATAATGGTGGAATAACCAATAATAAAGGAACAGCCAATGTCAGCTAAATGGCAAAGGAGCAATGTAAAGTTTTATTAACAAAGGACCTGTACTGAAATCCTGGTGCCAGCCTTAACTAGATGTATGACCTTGAGAAGCTGCCTAACATGTTATATATTCATCACTTAAAAAAAAAAAAAAAAGGAAATAATCATGTGTATGTCAGAGGACTGGGAAAATTAAAAGTCCAAACAGACTTATATAGTATCTGCAAATTGGAACCTGAAAAATAGATTCTTTTACTTACCTGTAGATAATAAAATAGTGAAGAGCATGCAGGTACATTATGTTTATTAGTCATTAAGAAAAAGAGTGAATATAAAACTGTATACTCAGTATAATTCTAGTTTACAATGGATTATAAATAATAATAAAAGTGCTTGGATGAGCAAACTGAAAAGCTGCATATGTGAATGGATAAAAGACAAGAGAGAAATGTATAAAATTTCATTAATGATAAAATAACAGAAACTATTTTTAAAATGTCATTTTATTTTTATAATTAAAATAATGAGGAGATATGTAGGTATTTCTACGAAGCTTAAGTAAATCCTCTTATTATGGAAAACAAACATCATCGAAAATCATTCATGAACAGGAATTGAAACTACAGCCTAAACCTCATTCCTTAGTGTATACAGCCTAAAGAAGGGTCATAGTTATCTGCTCTAATTCTTGTTTGGAGCAACACAGATCTGATACAATCTAAAATATCAAAGTCTGTCCACAGGCTCTCAAACAATAATTAAACATTATACAACTACCCACAGTGCAGTTTTAGCCAGATGTGAGTACAAGAATGCTTAGTGTTGACACTTCTTAAAGAATTGGCACTCATGGATATCATGACATGACAGGASTTGGAGGGGTAATCCTTATTGCCAACTTCTGCCTCAGCCACATTCAATTGATTAGAAATTTTTATCAATAAGTAGTCTTTAAAAAATGATAAAATAAATTAAGTGTACCTGGTGTCCAGCTTTTACTTGCTTCAAAACACTTTCATAGCATACTTCATCCATGTTATTCAACTGCTGCATCTTAAAGTTTATAAAACATAAAAAATACCAAATGAAATGTTATAAACTTTCTACCTAGAAATAAAACTTTGTCAATTATAATGCATCCTTTTTTTTTACCTATTAAACTAGTATACACAGAAGCAACAAATACATAAAACTTCCCATAAGAAACAAATACAATGCAATTAAAACTACTGATGAAATACTTCAAAGATTCAGATTGCCCCTTCCTCTTACTCATACATAAGAATGCCAAGTTTTTAAAAGACACTACTTTAAGAATAATATACTAGTTATAGGTATTTTAGAATAACTTTAAAAGTTCTCTCTACTTTCCCTAGAAAAGGATGCTTTTCTTTTATTTCATTCCATAATCTATATATACATTTTTCCTTTTTAATTCTCAAAGTTGTGAGAACACTTCAGGTGGGATGGCAAATGGCATATTGAGATGGATCCTAGGAAACAGACAATTTCTGTAATGTGTATGGACAGGAGAACTATTTTTCTACAGAAACAGTTTTCAGATTAATTACAAACCTAATATACAAACTGAATTAAAGAAGGGTTTCCTTTTCCCTATTAATGATGAGGAAGTGTCTAACTAGAAAGGTAAGAAGGTGAGGAAAAGGGTCATGTATGTGTGAAATGAATATAATTTGGATATTTTATTTCAGTAAAATAAACATTTTTAAAATCTAGAACTATTTTAACTGATAGTGGCTAAATAGGTTAGGGTGATCATAGAATAATTTATTTCCACCAATAAATTAAAAAAAACAACTTAAAAAAAAACAACCCTATTATCAACAAATAAATCCCAATAACTTTTTCAGTACACTTTGGGTTGAATTCTGTACAAAGCCATTAGTCCAAATTATGAACATTACTTATAGCACTTTGACATACTCTTTTATAACAACAGGATCATATTATGAATTTTGGAATGAAATTGAGAAGTCTACAAGGATGTCTTCTTATAATAAATGACAAAATAACAACTGGTTATAAAACATATTGACAACACCTTGAGGGAAGACTTAATGGTTACCCATTGCATATTTCTACTAACAAATACTAATACTAATAAATTCTAATAATACTAATAAATTTAATAAGACAAAAGTCTACATTTATTTAAAAAAGCATAATTAACTATTTAAACTATTTAAATATATAAGTTTTAAAATTTTCTAAATTTCTAAATTTCTAAATTTTCAAAATAACTGATAGCTCATCTTCTGACACCATTCCTTTCATGAGTATGATGCTAACATATTGTGATAAAAATTTTAATTAGTTTTAAAGAATTTATCAATTTGTATGATGCAGTGCAAGAAAATAAGTTTTAAGATGAATGACAGAAATCTTTAACAATTTTCTTTTCCTAATATCTCTGATAACCATCTGCTAACATTTAAATTATAAAGCAAAATATAATCTAAAGCCATAAAGAAGCAGTTCTACATTTATCACTCTGATACATTAAAATGAACTAAATAATCAAATATATATTAAACATGACTGAAAAACAAGCATCAAGTAATACTAGAGAGCACTTAAAACAATCAACAAATATTGAAATATTCATATAATATCACCATATCGTGATATTTATTATRAATAAGTCTGAAAAAGATCTCTAAAATTTGAAAGATCTCTGACATTTATGCAACGCAATTAGTGTGCATATCTATTGTAACAGTCATTTCTAAAATCTATTAGCGAATATTTAACTTACAATAGTATAAGGCTCTATTTTACAAATAAAATATTTTCTTAGAAAGAAGTAAATTAACACAATAAAGAACAAGTTTGACATGATAGCATATGATTGCATCTTGTTCTCTTAACTAAGGAGGTCAAAAGGCTGTAAGTTTTATCATACGTCCTACAGTTATTTCTTCTAAAGAAAAATATGGGTTGTTGAAGAGAATAATAAAAAATAAATGTTAAACACAGTTTTGTATAAAATGTAAAACAAAGTTTTCCTTCATATTATCAAATTAGTCTGTAATAAACACTCTAATAATGCAAATAGTACTACTTTAATAGTACTACTTAAGGAATTAGATAAGCAGAGTTTTGAAGCACTATATAGAATTTTAGAAATGACATTATATATATATATGATAATTATAAAACATTTTAAATTAAACAGAATATCTCTCCTTATGGTTGCTACCACAAAATTATTTTTCAATTATATAATTTCAATTATAAAATATCTTATTATTTTGTTAACATTATATTAAAATATTTATTACTAGTTTAGTAGAGCTCTTATTATTTTACAATGGGTTTCAGTCAAAGGAACTTTCTGAAATTTTACTAAGAACACAAAATATACATTGAAAATAGCAATACAAACTACTACAAGCACCTTTCTGTAAGATGTATTCAACCACCAGTCATTGAGGAGGTATATTTGATTTTGTCTTAGATAGCACATTAGGAATGCTACTAAAATAGTCTTTTGCAGTCTTAATTTCCGGACAAGTATTCAACAGTAAGTCAACATAAATATTTTTTAGAAAAATATAATTATTAAAATGAATATTTTACCTTATTTGCACTTTTAATCCCCAAAAATGTCTGTCCAAGAGGTACTGGACGAAAACGGCCATCAAAGTAGAAAAGTCCAATGTAGGGATTAACATGTAAAAATGTAGCAACATCAAGGTAGTTGGGTAAGGTTGCAGACAGTCCAAGTATCCTTATCATACTCTGTGTGGATTCAACCTACATGGGTTATGTTAATTGGAAGTTACTTTAAATAAGTATGGGTTGTTTACATTAATTTAACTAAGATGAGTATTATGTGTCCTATTAATAGGACCTTCTAAAAATTGTACAAAGAAATCAGTTCAGACATCAACTGAGGGTCTTACCAAGCAAAACTCTAAAGCTCACAATTCACAACCTTGATCCAACAGATACATAATAGAACTCCCTACTATTAAAAATATGCATAGGAATTTATATTAAATAGCAATAAAAATTTATAACAATGGAACATATTATTAGGTCAACAAAAACTCATTAACTTCCTCAAACTAAAAAACATATAGGGTAAATTCTCTGATAACAATGTAATATACCCACAAAGATAATATTAATGGATGGTCAAAACTTCCAATCAGCACCACAGTGGCACACACCTATAATCCCAGAGGCTTGGGAGACTCAGGCATGAGTATTCCAAGTTCAAAAATCAGCCTCAGCTACTCAGCAAGGCCCTAAGCAACTTAGGAAAACCCTGTCTCACAATTAAAAAAAAAAAAAAATTTAAAAGGGCTTGGGGATGTGGCTCAGTGGTAAAGTGCCTTTGGATTTAATCAATGGTACCAAACACAAAAATCAAAACCAAAACCATAAAGCTTGCATTCATTTGGTAATTAAAACACACCATTATGACCCCATGATGCTGCTATCAATTTCACAGCCATTTTTTGGAGGAAGTTGTTGACAAATTAGCTGAATCTATTTGTTACATTCAATAAGCAAATTAGCCCGGTATGAATAACAGTAATACTCCCAGAATTACTCCTCCATCAACACTGGAGTACCACTTAATCTGTAGGAACTAAGGATGCAAAACTGAATAAGACACATGTAGAGAATATATAGAGAAGTATAAATAGGAAGAATCAAAAACTGACAGAATTGGGTGGAAATCAAAATATACACACATATAGAACATATTACCATCAATTTGTTTTCACCAAAGAAATCATACAGGTATCAGCAAAAACTGAACCAAAAGCAAAGAACTCCAAATAATGGACTATTATATTATCACACCTGCTATTTAAGAAAACTCCTTCATCATACAAAGTAATTAGAATGATTTTAATTACTCTATAGTTATATATAGTGTCCATAGTAATCTGGAAAGAAATAGAAGTTATATTTCTTTTTAAAATTATTATTTAAAATACAAAATTTACTGAACAAAATTTTAAGCTCATTTGATGTTAAATACCTGGTCCCCTAGCAATCACCTGAGACATTTTTCTGCTAAAAATCCATTATAGAACAACCATGTTTTTAATCTAAAAGTATAACTCATAATTTTAACATAATGAAGTCCTTTGAGAAATATTTTACTTGAAATAAGAAAAATTTGGAATTTTATGTCCTAAACCAAATCCCAAAGCTTTTTACGCCACAGATATTTCCCTAAAAAAGAATCCATTGTTCAAAATGATATAAAAATAGTGCTTTAAAGATTTATTTTTATCATTTAACACAAAAATGAGGCACTAAACTTTCATGTTTCCCCTCACACAAAAAATCTAAATTTGGACAGTCTCCCTACTCAGTGAAATCAAAGTAACTGAGACAACTAATACCAGATCAACGTTGTTGAATACAACATATTTAAGAGTTCTTGTATTTCCATCTTTTCTAAATTTCTCCCCATCATTTCAAGTGTGTTGGGTATTTAGTCTCGTCTCTAGCACGTAATTTCAGATCATGGACAGCTGGAACAGCTTCCTGTCACAGGTCTACATTAGTAACAAATATAGAATGATGTAAAACACTGCCATCTACGGGGCACATATGGTAATCACAACAAACAAAAAAGAGGAACTTTGCTTCTATTAAACACTCATGAGCACTGCACTAATATATTGGAAATATGAGAATCATAAACACAGTAGTCGACATGTATTTGTCTACTTTTCAACAGATATATAGCAGTTAAAATCAGAAAGACCAGGATTTAATAATCTTTACTATCCAGCTAAGGAATTTGAAAATATTCTTAAGATAATAAACAATTATTTAGCAAACGATTATAAGGAAACATAAATGGAAAATGATTATGGAGATGATAATGTGAGGTATGAATTAATATATTATTTAATTATAAATTATATGTCCATAACATTATATCTTAAGATTAATTATATATTTATATAATTAAATGATACATAAAATATCCCGTTTTATACCATTTATCATATTTATAAACCATATATAAAATTATATTCTACATTTATATTTGCAAAAACTTTTATGAAGATGTGATTGCTTTAAACATATACATGTTACATGCATATGGGTGTGTGTATGTATGTGTGTACATACATACAGAAAGAATTAGCAGCAAGACTACATTCTACTTTCTCCCTCTATGGGGACAGAGGGGTAAAGAAAACAAAGCTGTCCTAGTTAAATAAATCCCCTTATAAAAAGATGTGAATGATAGACCTTCTGGCAAATGTACTAATGCTATTTACTTGGCCTCTAATGTTTTATACTTGCAGGAAATTCTTTATCTGTGGGATGCTTTTAACTGGATGGACATGGTCCAACAAGTTCATTGCAAGTAAATGTAGAATGTATGAATTCATACAGCATGGTTTCCTAAACAATTTTAACTAAGCTATTTAAGTATTTAGGTATAAAATGAAAATGTTTCATGATCAAAATAACTCTCTTTTGTGTAAAAAGTGTACTGAATACTTCTTTTTGAGGTCTTATACATAAAATCTGTACCAGAACAAATCCACTGTAGTAAAAAAGGACTTGGAGATACTTCTCAATGCTTCAACTATATTTTACAACTAGTTATACCTGTGAAATTATTATTAAACTGATATTAGCTAAAATATTTAATTTTTATAAATCTTCTTTGAACATTTCAACCCTCTGTATTTATGTGAATATATACATATTTTTCATTTATATGATAAAAGTGATCATATATCCCAAGAATACTGTCCCTTTACTTTTTTTAAAAAAAATTTTTTAGTTGTAGGTGGATACAATACCTTTATTTTATTTATTTAAATGTGGTGCTGAGGATCAAACCCAGTGCCTCACATGTGTTAGGAGAGTGCTCTACAGCTGAGCTACAACCCCAGCCCTGTCCCTTTACCTTTTTAAAAGAATATTCATTTTTTAGTTAYAGGTAGACACAATATCTTTATTCTATCTTTATGTAGTGCTGAGGATGGAACCCAGTGTCTCATGCACAGTAGGCGAGCGCTCTACCTCTGAGCCACAATCCTAGCCCCCTGTCCCTTTACTTTTAAGAAATCATTTTTCCAGCTTGCTGCATATTCTTTCATGTATACATACAGATCTCATTCTACACCAGCCTAAAAGTAATTTAAATTATATTTTCTGATGACACACTATATTTAGAAGATCAAAAACTAGAAGACTGCTGGAGCTTATGAACAAATTTAGCACAACAGCAGGATAAAACATCAACACTCATAAATCAATAGCTTGCCTTTATTACAATAATAAGTCTGCTGAGAAAAAATTATGAAAATCATATAATTTACAAAAAAAACTAAAAATAAAAAAACAAAAACTTTGGGAAGAAATCTAATCAAGGAGGTGAAAGACCTCTACAATAAAAACTTATAACACTGAAGAAAGAAATTAAAGAAGACCTTAGAAAATGGAAAGACCTCACATATTCTCAGACAGGCAAACAATATTGTCAAAATGATCCTATTACCAAAAGTTACAGATTCAAAGTAATCCCTACCAAAGTACTGATGACATTTCTCACAGAACTAGAGAAAACAGTTCTAAAATGTATTTGGAAGAATAGCCAATGCAACACCGAGCAAGAAAAACAATGACAGGAATCACAATACCTGATTTAACACTGTACTACTGAGTTATGGTAAGAAAAACAGCATTGTACTGACATCAAAATACACAAGAAGACCACTGGAATAGAAAAGACATGGAAATAAATCCGCACATATACAGTCATCTGATCCTTGACAAAGGTGCCAAACTACATGATAGAGACAACAGCCTTTTAACAAATGGTGCTGGTACAATTGGATATTCATATGAAAGAAGAATGAAACTAGATCCCTATCTTTCACTCTGTGCAAAAGTCAATTCCAAGAGGATCAAACACATAGGAATTAGATCAGAAAGTATGCAACTCCTGGAAGAAACCATGGGTCAACGTTCCAACAAAGAGGTACAGGCAATGACTTTGTCAATAGAACATCTAAAACTTAGGGAAATAATGACAAGAGTTAATAAATGGCAGGACATCAAATTAAAAAACTTCTGCACAGCAAAGAAAACAAAAACATACAAAAAGTCTATGGAAAGGGAGAAAAATATTTGGTAGCTACTATTCTGACAAACGATTATTATCTAGAATGTATAAAGTATATATCTATAAAAAACTTAACACCAAAAAAGCTCAAATAATAAATGAAAAAAAGGAACTAAACAAACATTTCTCAAAAGAAAAAACACAAAGACAATGAATACATGAAAAAAGTGTTCAACATAAGTAGCAATCAGGGATATGCAAATCAAAACTACACTGATTTCATCTCACTCTAGTTAGAATGCAATTACCAAGAACACAAATAATAATAGATGCTGGGGATGGGGAACAAAATGTATACTCATGCATTGTTGGTGAGACTGCAGATTAGTACAACCAGTGTAGATATTTGTAGATATTCCTCAAAAAACTAGAAATGGAACCATCTTTATGACTCAACTACCCTACTCCAAGGTGTTTATCAAAAAGAACTAAAAATCAACATACTATATATAGCAATATAGCCACCTCAATGTTTAATGCAGCACGATTCACAGTGTCAAATTATGAAATCAGCCCACATGTCTTTCAACTGATGACTGGATGAGGAAAATGTGGTATACATACACAATGAAGTTTTAACTAGCCATAAAAAAGAATGAAATTATGGAATTTGTTGGTAAATGAATGGACATAGAAAACGTTATGCTAAGTGATAAGCCAGACTCAGTCAGGGGTTGAATATTTTCTCTCATATACAGAAGCTAGACCAAAATGGGGGGTGGGCAGTGATCACATGAAACCAGAAAAGATCAGTGGAACAAAGAAAGAAGGTAGAGAGAGAGAGAAGGTATAGAAAAAGTTAAGAACTCAGGAATGAAAGTGACCAAATTATGTTATGCACATATACACCACAATGAATTCCACCTTCACCGTATATCTATAAAGTACCAATTAAAAAAACTATAAATAAATAGAAGAATAACCAGTAGACAAGAAGGGGAACGGGGAGAGCAAGAAAAGGGAGAAAGCACGAGAGACTGATATGGAGCAAATTAATTCCATGCATGTATGATSTCAAAATGATCCCCACTATCATGTATAATTATAATGGACTAACAAAAACATTTAAAAATGTAAATAAAAACAAAAWCTTTGTTTTGTTTACCATTTATCTAAAGCACCTAAAACTATGAGCTGGCAAAATGTAAGTGCTTAGTAAGTATTCACTAGGTAAAATAATGAACAAAAGTACAAATATAGCATACTTTTTATGATACACAAATAAATAGAACAGCTTGTTTGCTCAATGAATAATAACACAGACTATTTTAAGCCCAGGTCATATGGCCCTACCTTATACTTTTTAAAGGTAGAATTTCATTTGTATGAACATACTGAAATATATTAAACCATTTCTGGTATTGAATATTTGGATTGTTTTCAAAATGTTTTGATGTAAAAAGAGAACTTTGGGCTGGGGGTGTATTTCAGTGTATAGCCTTGTCTGGCATGTGTTAAGCACTGGGTTCAATCCCCAGCATTCAAAAAAAAAAAAAAAAAGAGCGGGAGGAGAGCTTCAGTGAATACTAGTACTAATACATCTTTGTGAGTTTGTGTTATTATTTCCATAGTTTAGATTCCTAGAAGTAAAAACATAGGGTTGATCTTAGTGAATGGAATTACATTTCATTTTCAGTTTTGCTAATCTAATAGAAATATTGGTTTGGATTTCTTTCAAGTATCTTTTCAATCTTTCTCCGTATGCTTATTTCTATTGAAAAATGTGTAACAAATAATTTCTGATATGCAGTCACTTGAATTTTAACTTTTGGGGTGATATCCTTACTATCATGACTGGGCAGAATATTTTAAAATTTTCACAATGAAATGTGGCACAATTTTCCTTTATAACATTTCGAGTTTATGATGTTGCTTAGATATCCACTCCAAAGTTACCCAAAAAAACCTCTTCTATATTTGCTGCAATGCACTGAGAGTTTGTTTGATACAATTAAATCATTAATGCCTAGAATTTTATACTTCATTTACTAGAAGGAATACATAGGAACATTTAAAACTTGGTTGGCACAAAACATCATTTCCTAAAGTTTTGTATATTAAATTCCTATGCCTGGATATGGATCAGAGATCTTCAGGATATGAAATATAAAATAACTGTTATTAAACTAGATATTCAGATGGAATGTTAAGGAAGTAGGAAAATGTGGCTGTATCTTCCAGGGTTTTGGCTTAGAAACAAGTGGAGTGCAATCTTATTTATACTGATATAGAAAAGATAACAGAGTTCTAACATGATTAGCAAAGATATTTATGGGAAACTAAAGCAGAAACATAAAGCTGAATTTGAATGTAGGTAGAAATCAGCAGAAAAAAACTTTTTAAATACAATATTTACATATATACACACACAGGTTGAGCATCCCTAATTTAAAAATCTGAAATTCAAAATGCACCCAAATTTGAAACTTTTTGAGTAGCAACATGCTGCCACAAATGGAAGATTCCACACCTGAAATTTTATGTCGGGTCACAGTAAAAATGTAGGCACATGGAAACTATGGTATATAAAATTACCTTCAAGCTATGTGTCTAAGATGTATAGGAAACATAAGTGAATTTTGTGTTTAGGTTTGGGTCTCATTCCAAAAAATTTCATTATTGGCATGCAAATATTCCAAAATCCTCTTCCCTACCAAAAATATCTAAAATATGAGGCACTTCTGGTCTCAAATATTTTAGATGAGGGATACTCAACCTGTATACACACACACACACACACACACACACACACACACATACACACACACACCATCTGTAATGACACATAAAGATTTAGGTAAGGTAGGCACAAAAGTATTGTTTTCTTGGATAAATATTTAGAATGAAAAAAAAATGTCAGGTAACAGAATCTTAGAGAATATAAACATTAATGATGAAGACAGGATAGAAGTAAAGGAGCCTGAGAAAGAGCAGATAGATGGGGAAAAAGTCATGTAAAAAATTAGGACAGGGTATCATCATGGATCCAAAGGAAACAAGTTTCAAGACTGAGGAATGATGAGTAGTATCCAATATCAAAATTACTAACATCGCAAGTTAAAAAAGACTGGGTTTGAAAACTATCCTTTGGTAACTGGTGATACTGGTAAAAATATTTTATTAATGTTGATTTAGTTCAATCAGTGACCAGACTGCAGAGGTTGAAAAATAAAAAGGAAAACAGTGAAGATACATTAATATTTCAAGAAGCTAGGTGGTAAGGAAATTTACGGAGCAAAATTATTGGAGAAGGATAAATTTAAGGGAAGTTTTCTGGTAAAGATCAAAAGACTTTTTAATTCTATTACGCTAAGTAGACAGTGGCCACTAAGAGACAGAAACTGAAGATATAGGAGAAAGAAAAGGGGTAACTTACAGAGTCAAATAAATGGGGTCTGAGGCAAGGGGAAAAGAGATCTCTGAGAAAAGTTTAAGAATATAATGATGGAATCCTTATGATGGCAGGAGTAGAAGCAGGATTCTTTTCTGGTTAGGGGAAAGGACAGAATTTGAGGAGTTCAAGCATGAAGGTCTTTATTTCCTTTCAGTAAAAAGTGCTCTCATGTAAGAATGAGGCATGACAAAGTGGGAGAGAGTGATAAAGGAGACTAAGGAAGCTTAGTAATGGTCACATTAGGGAAATAGAAGAAAAACTGCTTAGATGTTACAGGGTAATCCCAGCAATTCAGGTAAATTCAGAGTCCATGAATGTGTAGTATATATCATATTCTATGAATATATACTTACACTAGTCTATACCACTGTGTGATCTTCTCCTCTAATGATGAGAAGTCTGGCTAGAAATAGACATAATTCAGCTGATTTGCTGTTGTAATTTTGCCAGGTACTCAGAGGTAAGTAACTTAAGGTTTTTGACAACAAGCTGATCATCAGGTCTTGGCTATTTTAGGAAGAAAACTAAGGCAAGAGAATATGAATAAAAGACAATAACAAATGGGAGTCAAGGAAACGGAGTTCTTAATGAGTTTGAAAAACTTGTGTTCATCTATTTTCCATACATGTACAATCTACCAGAAAACTTCACTTTAATATCCATGACTATTCTAAGAGTTCATATCCTTTCACTTATTTAAAAAAAAAATAGCCAACAAAGAATATCCTGATAGTCCTGGCATTGGTGAATTTACCAATTATTTGTTTCTACTATTTTATAAATTACCAAAAAGGCCCAAACATAGAGACAACATAAACATGCCCCTTTAAAAAAATATTAGTTAAAATTATGGCTATGTGGCAATCAAATCTCATTTTATCCAATATATGAGAAAAAATATAAATTACATTCAGATTTTTGGAGGGTACAATGCAGAGAAGAACTATATTTTACAACATAATTCCTTATGTTGTAAAATATTTTAATTCTGACTAGTGAATACTGGATCAACTTTACAACACAGGTTTAGAATAGAAGTTTTCCTATACTTATTTTGGTTAAAGAGACATCAATGAAGTAAGATTTGGAACAAACTGAATAGTTAATGTGAAAATGAAACAGTTAAGTGTTTCTTCATTCTAAAATTACCTTTATCCCCGAGAATAATGCATATTAAATTTTCCTTTGAATTCTATATTTTAGGATTAAAAACTTACTGATACTCTCAAAATAAACTTACAAAAAAAGAGGTAACTTTCTCTTACCTGCCGTAAAGTACGTGCAACTATGCTTTCTAATACCGGTCCTCTATCTTCATGCAGCAAATGAACTTCATCAAGAATAAGGAGTTTTACAATTTGGGAAAGAGCAACATCCCCAACACTCTTTCTTGTCACTACATCCCATTTTTCTGGTGTGGTAACAAGCATCTATAAGAAAAGAAAAGATAAGCAAAAATAGTGGAAAAGTCAAATACATTATTTAAGTTTCATTTGTATCATTCAAATATAAATATTTTTGTGGCCACTTTTACTCATATATAATAAAATGTGTTTAAAATACCCCAAAATAACATTTAATTTACTATAGACAATAGTAAATTCAAGAAAATTTTTCCTTAAGCTATAATTTTAAGCAGTTATTTAAAGTTCTGAAGGTGAGTAAGCGTAATGTAAAATGTACAAATTATACACACACATACACACAATTTGTAATGTAAAATAAAAATAAAATTTTTTGAAAGTAACATATATTGATAGGCATTTTTATTTGAAAAAGGTCCAGGAGTAAAAGCAGCCTGAAAAGGAGATTAAAAGAATGCTCATCAGTACTAAGCCTATTCCAATTTAGGAGAAACTACCATTGAAACTCAGTTTTCAAATACTGCCCTTTAATAGCAACTGGTATACACACTACTTACACTAAAAACACACATTTGGTGAAGGGTAACAAATACACATAGCAACACCAACAGTGGGTCTCTGGAGATAAGGACTTTTGATGCAATAAGTAGGCTCAGGGTTTTTATGTAAACTTCATAAAAGCAGACCATTTAGCATGAAGCTGGAATTATAAATCTATTTACTTTTTGCATAGTGAGTTGTTTGGATCCTCTAAAAGCAGAGTGGCAGAACAAAAAAAATCAGAATTTAGTATCTACTATGGAAATGGAATAGGAAATAGTCCATCAACAGATGGTTCAAAAAATGCATGAGATAACCAATAAAAACCAAAGTTGTATCTTAGAGTAGTTTTAATTTGCATTTCTCTGATTGCTAGAGATGATGAGCATTCTTTCCTATGTTTGTTGATTGATTGTATATCCTCTTCTGAGAAGTGTCTGTTCAGGTCCTTGGCCCATTTATTGATTGGATTATTTGTTTTTTGGGGGGTGTCTATCTTTTTGAGTTCTTTATATACCCTAGAGATTAGAGCTCTATCTGATGTGTGAGGGGTAAAAATTTGTTCCCAGGATGTAGGCTCCCTATTCACCTCACATATCTTATGCTGAGAAACAACTTTTTAGTTTGAATCCATCCCATTTGTTGATTCTTGGTTTTAATTCTTGTACTATAGGCATCATATTAAGGAAGCTGGGGCCTAGCCCCAAGTGATGGAGATTAGGGCCTACTTTTTCTTCTATTAGCCGCAGAGTCTCCAGTAAGAGTAGCAGCCATTATGAAGACAAACAACAACAAGTGCTGGCGAGGATGCTGGTGGGACTGCAAATTGGTGCAGCCAATTTGGAAAGCAGTATGGAGATTCCTTGGAAAACTGGGAATGGAACCACCATTAGACCCAGCTATTATTCCTCTTCTTGGACTATACCCAAAGGACCTAAAAACAGCATACCACAGGGACACAGCCACATCAATGTCTATAGCAGCACAATTTACAATAGCTAAACTGTGGAGCCAACCTAGATGTCCTTCAGTGGATGAATGGATAAAAAAAATGTGGCATTTATACACAATGGAATATTACTCAGCAATAAAAAACAATAAGATCATGGCATTTGCAGGGAAATGGATGGCATTAGAGAAGATTATGCTAAGTGAAGTTAGCCAATCCCCCCGCCCCGAAAAAATATGTCAAATGTCTTCTCTGATATAAGGGGGGTGATTCAAAATGGGGTTGGGATGGAGAGCAAGGGAGGAAGATTACCTCTAGATAGGGAATAGGGGTAGGAGGGAGAATGGGAATAGCAAGGATAGTTCAAGAAGTTGGTCATCATTATACAAAATTCATGTATGAAGATGTGAATTTGGTGTCAGCATACCTTATATACAAACAGAGATTTGACAAATTGTGGTATAAAGGTGTATTAAGAATTGCAATGCAAAAAAATTATGAATGTAATGCACTCCTCTATTGTGATGTATGTAAGAAATAATTAAAAAAAAACCAAAGTTGTTCTTAACCAGTATATCAAACTATAGTGACTGATAATAATCAAAAACTAAATTGTGCTTTGCAGGGTAAACCGGAATGGGAGCCAAATTATTGTCCTCAACAATTTATTTATTTATTTCATTTTGATATTAGTTTGTCTGTCTTGAAGTCACTGTGGAGATGATWATCTTAGTTTTTTAGATCAGGAATGAATAAATTCTTAACAAATACACAATCCTGCTGAACTAGCAATATCATTGCTGTCATGTTTTAATGAATTGTCAACTGCAAAATTTAGCAGGTAACATTCTATAGATCAATAAGTAGCAAGCACAATGAAGTAGATTAAACAATGCATATTTAAAGTGTGAAGTACTACAAATCCAAGTGACTTGGCTAACTTAGTAAATTTAAAATGGCAATAATGAGAGTATAAATTTTTACAGAAAAATATGCTACTACAATCAGGTATAAACAGACCTAAAATGAATATTGAGATCTCAAACATATAAAACATTTACTGGCCATTAATTAATATTTTTTATCATGCTACAATAAATTAAACAGAACTTCTGTGAATATTGACAAAACCAAAACAACACAAAATATGTTATTATAAATACACATAGAAATAACCTACTAACAATCCTTTTTATTAAAAGTCCTTGATGAAAATGAATGTTTTCTCTCATATGTAGAAGCTAGATCAAAATAAGAGAAAGGAAGAAAAGGGGAAAGGGGATCTCATGAATTTAGCAGAAAGGTCAGTAGACTAGAGGAAGGGAATGAGGAATGGGAGGAGGGACAGGGAAAGGAACAGTGGTATGAGTCTGCTCAAACTTTCCTATGTACAAATATGAATACACCACAGTGAAATTCACCTTTAATGTATATCCATAGTGCACTAATTTAAAAAGGTATAAATTATAAAAGGAAGATGAGTAGAGGAAAGGAAATGGGGAAGGGAAGAGGACAGGCAAAAGAGAAGTACAGGGAACTAAACTGGGGAAATTATATTCCATGCTTATTTAGTTATGTCAAAATGACCCCCGTTGTTATGCATAACTAAAATGAACTAATAAAAACTAAATGCCCTTGAGAAATATGCCCATCTGTTAAAAAAGTAGAAATTCTCCAAAACTAGAAATTAGTGGCACATGAAAATATAAAATTTTATTAGTAGGAAATATTAAGAAGGCTAATATTTAAATGAATAAATGATATTATTAAATGATAATAATAAATACGAAGCTTGGCTATCTATCTCACCTCAAATTTGGAACACTGTGTTAGTATTTTCTTATAATTAACTGAATTTCAAAGATAATAATGTACCAATTAAATTGTGATATCAAAAATTTCAACCATCAAATATACTACCAAATCTTAAAAATTCTTTCTAGTATTTTGTTTTCTATACTTTCAGCACATTAAGAAGTGGGTTCATTTATCTCACCGTGTCACCACTCTCATTCCCTGAACTAAAATTTCTAGAAAATAAAGTGTTACATTGCTTAATGAATTGAAAATCATGCAAGAGATTTCCATCTGCTCTTGGTTTTAGGCCATAGGTTAACTGTCAATATTTTTACTGTCAACTTAAATTTCTCTCAGTACATATACTTATTAGTTCCTCAGCAGTGTAAAAATCATTATTTGAAACAGTTACAATTTTAGCTTGTCCACTGGGAAAACGGCATCCTAAAGATATTTACTTACCACCATTATGATAAAAAGTTGGTATATTCAAGTTTAAAATGAGCATCAATTTGACAGAAAAACCAAAGAACCTAAGACTTGATAGAATTAATTCATCAGATATTTCACCTAAATATTATTATTAAAAACTTTCCTTACATACTTATATAGTAAAATTACAATACTCAGATTTCCATGAATGTTTCATAACTGTTTAATTGTTCTTTTCCAAAGGTTAAATATATTGCTTCTTCAGGAGGGAAAGAGAAGAGAAAAACATAAATTTTAATCTGAGATTTTTAATAATTTTTTTCATCACCCAATAATTGGACACTACAGCAAACCCTTTATCAAAACACACCAGAGAGGAAGAGTTTCATTGAATGAAAAATGTCATGCATGAATCCAGGTATTCACAGACTTGTCCTAAATAGAATTGTTTGAATTTTGAAGTAAGAATTATGAGAGCAATCACAAAGAACATAAAGCTTCTTGCCAAATAATTCCTGTGAAAGGAATGAGTTTTGAGTGTGTATTTTACATTCTGTTCCTTTCTCTCTCAACATATTAATAGGTTTGACTAATCTAATGCTCCTTGAGAAAATGCAAACACTCCAGAGGTAAAAGAGCTGTCACTATATCAACCAGCTAGCAATTACAGGCAGATGATCGGTTCCTACCAGCCAAGCTTTTGAGTTTACCAGAAATTACATTGTTCCTAAATATATTTGCATTCATATTTTCTCCTACAAATGCTTACTGAACATAATAAGATGAAAAAAAAGTGATTTGTGCTACCAGAGAGGCTTGATAAAGAGCTGAGCCAGAATGATAAGAAAGCAAGCAAAATACTATTTGGAGGAGAGAGAAAAATGGTTCTGAGGGAAAAAAATTTTTCTCTGTCTGATCTTTCCTCCTATTTTTTCCTTTCTTTATCTCTCTTTTAGTCAAAGGTCAAGTGTCTTATCTGATATGAAGAAGCTAATTCAAAATAAAGGGAGGGAGATTAAAAAGAAAAAATGAATCAATGGAACAAAAGTGGGGAGAAGGAATATTATTAAACAGTTATTTAAAGAATTATTTTGACTATCAGTATTTTGTTTAATTGAGGCAGATAGTTATAAATAAAAGATTTAAATTTTTAAATCAAAAGACATACAAGAAATTTAAAAGGTTAAAAGTATAATTTCTTGCCTTTATAATATTTGAAACTATTTCAAAATTTAAAATTTTTGGTACTTAAATCTTAGAAAATTGGAAAAAAGTCATATAAACTAAACACATAAATGTCCTTTTTAAAGCAGAATGATAAAATACAGATTACAGCCACTGAAATTCC